TCGTTAGTTAGAGAAACGCTATTTTTGGGAATTTTAGGGACTTTTGGAGCTTTTATGGAAATAACAGTGTTAATATTTGATTGTGTCACGTATTGAAAAATCTGAACTCAATTGTTAAAACAAGAAACTTTTCAACACTACTTAACTTCACTGTCCAGTGCAGACAACAGCATCTGGAAAATCTCTAAAGCAAATAAAAGACCACAGGCTGTAAATCCACCGTTAAGAAAACCAAATAATGAATGGGCCAGAACAGATCAAGATAAGGCTGATCTATTCGCCGAGCACTTTGCTGAAGTCTTCACTCCTTATTCTGATGTGCCCGATATCGAGGTAGAAGCCTTCCTCCAGACGCCATTACAAATGTCGCTACCTGTTAAAAGCTTCACTTATACTGAAGTGCTTGAAGAAATACAGCATCTAAATATAAAGAAATCACCTGGATACGACCTAATTACGGCCAAGGTGCTTAGAGAATTGCCCAAAAGCAGCATAATTTTTCTAAGAAATCTGTTCAATTCCATCTTACGTCTTCACTACTGGCCATTATTGTTAAAATTCGCACAAGTCATTGTAATATTAAAACCTGGCAAACCTGCTGAAAGTGTTACATCGTACCGGCCAATAAGTTTACTGCCGCTATTGTCTAAACTCCTAGAGAAGCTTGTAATCAAAAGAATGTACGATTACGATATACTGGAACATTGTATACCAGACCACCAATTTGGTTTTAGGAAGTACCATTCTACGATACAACAATGCCATAGAGTTGTAAATATTATCAACACTGCTTTCGATTCCAAATCCTATTGTCCTGCAGTATTTATAGACATTAAACAAGCGTTTGATAAGGTATGGCATGATGGCCTTTTATACAAGCTAAAAAATATTCTGCCAAGTGAATACTACCTTCTATTCAAATCGTACCTGTCAAATCGATACTTCCAAATAAAATACGGCCAACAATATTCTGACCTCCGACCGATCAGCTCTGGAGTGCCTCAAGGAAGTGTCCTTGGGCCTTTACTATATATTTTATACACTGCAGATGTTCCTACAACACCATATACATATATATGTACCTTTGCTGATGACACAGTCCTTCTCTCCAGCCATACCAATCCTAATACAGCATCCTTACAACTACAAAACCATTTATCAAACCTACAGACCTGGCTAAACAAATGGCGAATAAAAGTAAATGAAGCAAAAAGCACTCAGATAAACTTTACCCTAAACCGCACTGAATGTCCACAAGTGTATCTGAATAATATTCCTATCCCTCAAGGAAATGAAGCCCGCTATCTAGGTCTTCATTTGGACAGACGACTCACATGGAAAACTCATATACTGAAAAAACGAAAAGAAATAGACCTGCGAATTAAGAAAATGTACTGGTCGCTTGGCAGAAATTCCTGTCTCTCCCTCGAAAACAAAATCTTGCTCTACAAAACAATAATAAAGCCTATATGGACTTATGGCATTGAGCTTTGGGGTTGCTCCTGCAAGTCCAATGTGAACATCATTCAACGTGCTCAGTCCAAGACCCTAAGAATGCTTCTGAATGCCCCTTGGTATGTCAGCAACTTGACACTGCATACTGATCTAGGTATAGCAACAGTAGAAGAGCGAACAATAAGAAGTAACGTACACTTTCTGCGACTTCAAGTCCATCCAAATATCCTTGCGTCAAACCTACAACAGGATCCCCCACCAAGACGACTAAAAATGAAAAATTGGCCCAGTGACCTAAGAGGAGGATAGTTGATACACCTTCTGTATAGGGATAACATCGCTGGATGGATTTCCCCCTCACGTTAAAAATGTCATCATATTAACTCATAGAACATGTATTTTATTTTAGTTCTGATTGTTAATTGAATATTAAATTAAAAAAAAAAAAAAAAAAATTCTTATTTTTCTAAACACCCACACGCTACTAATATCGTGACTAAATACAGGGTGATAAAAAATGCGAGACCATATTGCGCTATGGAGGAACACCCCTTAAATGTGAATAAAAAGTGGAATTCGCGATTTCGTAAAGATGTTAGTACTATCACAGATTTAGTATATTTAAATCTGTGGTTACTATACTCTCTATTGAATTGTGGCAAGCATGTTGGAAGACGTGGAATAAAGATTTCTGTCATCAGATAAAAAACAAGAATATGACCAGGAAAACCGAATATCCAGGCCGGAATTGTTCTGGGAACAAATTGTCCGGGTGGGAATTTTCCCCAGTTCCGCACACCCCATATACTCTATCATTTTATACAAAAGTCGACGTGTCGTATCATTTAGATCTTGGAAGAGAAGGACCAAAAGCGTCACTTGGGGGCTACAAGTACATTCAAATTAATAACAGTTCAGACTGCTAGCGTTTAAAATCTGTTGTATACTTATAGACCAAATTTATTATGTTATTAAAGATTCCCCTGGCTCATTTAAGAAGAGAGACAAGCATACCTACTGTACTATCATTTTGTTTTTAAAAATATACGGATTTTTACTACATTATTGCATTTTAAATTTTAGAAAAATTCCACTTTTTTTAAATCTTACCATTTCAAAGATAAAAAAACACATGACACTTCTTTCCAATTTTCGTAGGATTTTCGAAAATTCTCGCACAAATATTTTTGTTCGATATTCAAGACGTGCATTGACAGAGTTAACCCGTAGAAATTGATAGCGGTAGTGTTATTTCTTTGCAACAATTTCGAATTTCGAGTTCAAAGTATAAATAGTTGAGAATTATCTCTAGTGCAAAGGATTGAACAATTGCGAATTTTTGAGTGCAAAAGTGCAAAGTACTTCCTTAGCCACATTTTGACTATCCATATTACAATCTTTTCATTATTCGTTGGCGAACTTCTTTACTTACCCTTCTCCATCAAAACGTTGTAACACATTATATTGATGATGTCCTTTTATATTTTGGTTTGTTTGTCCATTCGCCCGTGCAAGTTACTTACCTATTCTTGATGTGAGCAATAAAATTAGTTTTAAAAAATGTAATAATTTGCTGTTTCGATGATACTCTGTTTATATATTACAGACACTTCAACAAATTCTGATACACGAAATTATAGCAGCAACAGAAATTATTACATCTTTATTCGAATGAGCGACTTTGGACAAAAAAGTATAAAATGTCACGAATGATGTTTTTTTAATTATTAGATGAAAGTCATAAGGCTAATCTGTAGTCAAATATTGATGTTCCCTTCCTAAAATTACTATGTGGCTACTGACGACATTTGAGTTTGCCCTTTCAATAAAAACGCGCTGGGATTTAAAAACTCGCCGAAACGTGGAAAACCTCAGCACGTAAACAAATTCAATTATAACAGTAATAAATAACGACCAAATCTAATACTGAGTTGTTATGCTGAAGGAATCCAAAATAGAGATAATCCCGTCCCCCATTCCGTTTCGGGGGTTATCCATATAATCCCAACCCTGTCTCATTATACAGCGCAGCAGGTATCACGATATTGTTTTCTTGATTACCTGTGTCGGTAATGTGACTCAATTTTAAAGTGAAGAATTGCACCACCAAATTAAACTGCCAGAATGTATCGAGGAATCGCTCTGCTTGTTGATGGAATAAATTTCTTATAAATTCTATAAACGGTCATGAATCAGATCGTCATATATCAGCGAAAAGCTTTACTAAGCGAGAGTGCGCGCCCTGAAGGATTATGGAGCCACGGGGGTGCATCTGAAAGTCAAATGCTGTCACTCGACCTACGGACTTTACTCAGATTTTCGACACTTGCCTAGCGTTTGGCCCGGATTACACTCTAATCTTATAGCAGTCTTGTATAGAACGCTTTCGTTATTACCTCAATTAACTGTCGTTCGAAACGAAATCGTCCATTGCCAACAATTCAATGCCGCAATCTATTAAACAGCTCAATGATAAGATCCCTCCGGAACGCGTAAATCGGTTTTGCCGGAAAACGACGGGAATTGGAAATGATCGCGATTACCCAACGGAAGAAAGAGCTAAATTGAAAGATTCCGATAGGGCTATTACCACTTCTACTCATAGACGCTCTTTAAGATAAGAACGCGAATAATAGCTGTAAGTAAATAAATAAACGTATTTCGAAGCAAGAGGGATTGGGGTTGTGTATATCAAACCATCAAGCAATTATTCAATAGAAGGGTGAACCTATTAAATTACTGTTAAATTTTCGATAGAACGGGGCAATGACGACAACACGTTTCAAATCTCTCACTTGAAATTCAGTAGAAGTTTCTCTATAAACGCAATATATAACATTTCTTCCTCTTCTACCCTTCCTTCCTTCCTTTTGCATCTTAAGTTCCTTCCTCGACACCGCAATATTTCCGAAAAGTTTCACCCCGTCACCCTCATAATTCCACAATATTAATGATAACAGCTTCGTTTCCGAATAAAATTATATTAACACTTGATAAATAGACTTTGCGATTTATACTGCGCATATAATAGAGAAATTATACGATTCTCCCAACGTGATTTCCAGCGAATGTTAATTAATTTGCGCTTTGATAAACAGAAGAGGTATTAGATGATGCTTTAGGGTTTCTCGGCGAAACCATAAAATGGAAATACAATTACGATTATTGTTACAACTGCATTTTATTGATTTTTGTTGCAGCTTGCACTCTATTTTTTAAACATCAGAGTACCCTTAAGTTTGATGCTGGGGCCAAGTAGCTTGCACACCTGTTGAAGGGGTCTGTACCTCTTTTCTATTCAGTCAAATATCGAAGATCTCAACCCACTTACTTGATCTTTCATCTTCAAATTTGGACCATTTCCGACTTTCATAGGACTATACTTACTTTACCACTGAATTATTTATCATGAATTGCGTGTGAAAAAACCTTTCTTACTTTTCAAAAGAGGAATTGAATTCCAAATTGATAAAACAAACTCAGGTGGCTACAGGACAGTATTTCACTGGCACATTTAATACAAGACACACTGAACAAAACCTTACCTTTATCTTCATCGTCTGAAATTTTTGCGTCAATATTCAATGGACTGCTTGCTCTTCCGGTGACGCTGTGCCGCAGGTGCGCAATATGTTTCGCTAGTAGGGCACCGGCTCTTGGTGTTCCGGCGAACGTTTCGAACTCGGCTCGGCTCATCTCGCAAAGGGCGCTGCCTGATTCTGGAAGCTTTGCCGTTTCGGGAATGGGGTTCAAGCCAAACTTCTTTGTTGCCCATGTTAACCAGGATTTGATATGATCTGCTGTCCATTCCAATGGATCTATAACGAAAAATTGAATGCTATTATCTGCTAGGTATACAGTTTCGGAATGCGTAAGCAGTCAATACGGTTAACCCTTGATCAGCTTTATTACCAGAAGCTTGACTAGTAAATATAAAATTAGGTTTGAGATTATATTATTAACACTTGTTTAAAAGATCGTTAGACGCCTTCCGTTCAAACAATTTGCATATTTGAATCGTTTCGACGATGACTAGGGAATGCAATCCCGCAGCAAAATCTCAATCCCGGTATTTGCGGCATTGTTAGATGTATCCCGGTATTTGCGGGATCTCGCAAAACTTTAAATAAGTAAATCGGCAAATAAGCAATTCCGTGCGGTTAACTTCTGTATTAAAATAAATCGCTAATTATCACAGTATTTAACAAAAAAGTACCTTCGGCCTAACTTAGAACTCAAAAAAACCTTACCTGTAAAGCACAAAAAGTCTTCTAAAGTGCCTCAAAAACCATAGTACATTTTTAACGAAAAAAGTTTAACAATTATATAAAAAATAATTCGCCGTTATCAGTTTCATTAACAAAGTAAACAGAGTCGTCCCCTTGGTCGACAAATTCCTCAGTCCCGCAAATCCCGCGGGATCCCACTCCATTTATGTGCGGGATTAATCTCGCAAAAATGCTGCGGGATCCCGATATTTCGGGATCCCGCAATCCAGGTATTGCATTCCCTAGTTTCTAGTCTATAACTTTTGATTGAGAAATCTGATCGAAAAAGTATGAATTGTTTTGGATTCTACGCACCAAAATTAATAAGAAAAAGTGTTTTCTCGAGAAATTTTGGTGCAGTCGATTTTTGGTAAAAAAGGAAGGTTATACACTGCCTTTTTTTGAGGCCCTCAAAAAAAATTGTCTCAGATCGACCCGGAAAAAAAATTTTCTTATAGAATGTGGCCTGTAGAATCCATAATTTCAAACAGTTCCTAGATTGGGCTACTAGTTCAAAAGTTACAGCCCTTTGAATTTTCTTTCGAAATTGGTTTCTAGTCTATAACTTTTGATTGAGAAGTCTGATCGAAAAAGTACGAATTGTTTTGGATTCTACGCACCAAAATTAATAAGAAAAAGTGTTTTCCCGAGAAATTTTGGTGCAGTCGATTTTTGGTAAAAAAGGAAGGTTATACACTGCCTTTTTTTGAGCCCCGAAAAAAAATTGTCTCAGATCGACCCGAAAAAAAAATTTTCTTATAGAATGTGGCCTGTAGAATCCATAATTTCAAACAGTTCCAAGATTGGGCTACTAGTTCAAAAGTTACAGCTCTTTGAATTTTCTTTCGAAATTGGTTTCTAGTAGGGAATGCAATCCCGCAGCAAAATCTCAATCCCGGTATCTGCGGGATTGTTAGATGTTAATCCCGCGGGATCCCGGAATTTGAGAGATCTCGCAAAACTTTACATAAATAGGCAAATGTGCGGTTAACTTCTGTATTAAAATAAATCGCTAATTATCACAATATTTAACAAAAAAGTACCTTCGACCTAACTGAGAACTCAAAAAAACCTTACCTGTAAAGCACAAAAAGTCTTCTAAAGTGCCTCAAAAATCATAGTACATTTTTAACGAAAAAAGTTTAACAATTATTTAAAAAATAATTCGCCGTTATCAGTTTCATTAACAAAGTAAACAGAGTTGTCCCCTTGGTCGACAAATTCCTCAGTCCCGCAAGTCCCGCAAATCCCGCGGGATCCCGCTCCATTTATGTGCGGGATTAATCTCGCGCAAAAATGCTGCGGGATTCCGGTATTTCGTGATCCCGCAAACCCGGTATTGCATTCCCTAACGATGACTAATCAAATTAACTTTATTGGTATCGTTAAATAACCAGGAGGCAGGAGGTTCGTCCGCAAATGCTAAAATTGGTCACTCGAAAAATAATTGAAGTTTAAAGTTATAGTGGTTGTTAATGTCATATCTCATTTTTATTTATTACTTTGGTGACTTTAAGAGTAGGTTTGAATGCCAAATTTCCCTTTCTGGGTTTAGAGTCACGCTGACCATCGGTCTTACAATGCCTCACTCAAGATGATAATTATACTGAAATGTAATCGAGGGTGTATGTAACTTTTGGTAATAAATTTAATTTATTGTACAGGGTGTCCTATTAATAACTTGCACAGTTCGGGGAAAAAGATTTTATTAACAAAAGCAGCCAAGAGAAATCGCTGGAAATTATTTTCAAGTTTCTAGGTTGCCCGCTAGAGGGTGTAAGTTTCATGGTTAAGCAAAAAAATTGCATCATTTTGATGTATTAAATATTGCTCTAGCTCATTTAATATGAGGGGTGGGGTCTCTTTAAGGAGTTGAATGTAACTTTGGTATTATTGGAAAGATCCCTCTTCGTGTATTCAAATTTTGGTAAATGTGATGAATAGTAGAGGACGCGGTTTGACATTAACATAAACTTTGCAGGATTTTTTGAAAATTTCAAATGGAATAATATAATTATCATATGATATATCAAATAAGATGAATAAGTGAAAGTATCAGTGAAAACCACATGTTAATATCTGTTTCCTACATGGTGTGGTAGCGAGAATTAGACATGGAATTCATAGCATACTTGTCGCTGAAATTCAACTGTTGTTCTCTATACCTACTGTATAAAAAATGATGGTAGATACAGTTTGAACATTTAGTTCTAATTATTGTTTCTTCTATTATTTAATTTAAGTATAGTTTTCTGATTTAAGGTATCAATAATTTATGTGTTCATAGTTATTGAGTGTTAATTTTGAACTGCTATATCGTCTCGTTCACTTTGACGTATAATTTTCGCTTGCTATGTGTTCTTTTGTTTCAATGCTAACTTGGATGAATATAAATATTACAATTTAAATTTCTGAATATGCGTGTTTTACGATATCTCTGCTTAGGAAAGAAATAGAAGCAGTTAGCAGAAACAATGATTTTTGTGGATATACATTTCCGTATATTTGAAATTTTTAGTCAAAGTTAGTTCTAAAAAATTGAAGCAGGTTATTGTCTACTTCTAGTAAATTGGATTTCAGAAATACTTTTGATTTTTCTTAAAAGATAGGCGATTTTTTGAGTGAGTTAAATTACGTTAGCATTTATTGGTCAATAATTTTTTAGCAAAAAGACACAACGGATGTCCGCAATGGGTATGGCCCAAATGTTACAGTATCACAGCATTGTATAATCGTGGCAAAGTAACTGAGCAGAAACCTTATTTATCAATTTAAGGATTTTTTACCATTCACCAATTTTGTTACGAAAAAACTAAACATACAGCTTTCCAATTCAAAAAAAAATAAAAATTGCATTTTTTTACACCATAACTATTACAGCACTCTGTTGATTTATAATTTGTTAATGAAGTGGAACTCTTTGAGAGTGTCAGTTACTTAAGGAGTAACGTGCCTTAATTAAATTAACTGCTGTTATTGTAAAAACTTGTAGTTTATTAAGCAAATAATACAAAATTTATTCCCAATAACCTAACAAAAAATTCTGCAATCCTTAATTGAGATTTATTGGGAACTTCAATACATTTCACCTTATGTGGGGGTTTTAGCTTAATGCATCCCCAATTTCATAATTGATGAGGAGCAATCAATTCCACACTACAGAATTCGTATCTGTAATGCGGAATTTTTGAAAGCCGAACTTACAGTTTATCAAATTCAGGGAATTGAATTCCAGCGATAATCTACTAAGTCGTTTTAACAATTTTAACTGAATCAGAGATCAGATTGAATGAAAATCACAAGGTGATTGGGAATAAAGGATTATATTAATCAAATGTAGTGTGCAAAGATAAGATTTTACTATTTTATATGCAAAATCTATACCTACCTAATTTAAAATCTTGCAAAATCTTTACTTGTTAAAAGGTAAATGAAACTGCAAATGAAAACTCCAAGCGGCGGCAATAATGTTCGACTTCAATGAAGAGATTGCCTAATCAATTTTGTGTAGAAAAAAAATAGGATAATATTCTAATCCTCTCGTAATTATTTCATTATCGACTTGTTCACTACCTACAAGCTACGTGAGTAATCATTATAGTGATTTGAATTCTCAGGGCATCAGGCATAAAGTATCCGTAATTAATTAGGCATAACAAAAAGCAATTTAGAATGTTCGATGTTAGTTATTTGCCGAAAATAATTGCGCTTTATAATACGTCACAAATGGTAACTTCCCAGAAATGTGAATGGTACACGATTTCGCGGAATAATGTCGGCATTATAGAAGAATAAATGTTGCAAATTTACCAGAGGGCACCAGGACCATTGCGTTATCGATGTCACCGTCACTGCTGTCATCCTCGGAACTGTTTAAATTTCCAATTAGGCTCTCGTTGTCGCTGCTGTTTTTTAATTCGCCCGGTATCGCGGAAACGCTTCGCGATGGTACCGATAACGTGGGTGAATAGGAACTGGTTGTCTTTGGGGATGGTGTGCGATAATGATAGGAGGACGAAGGGCCGGGTATGTTTTCGCTAGAATCGCTTTCTTGGGAGATGTGACTAGAAGGGGGTGACTGTATGTTGAGCGATCGCTGAGCTTCCGCAAGAATATAGTCCATGGTTTCATTTTCCAAAATTTCCTTCGGAAAAATTGGTAAATCATCGTTTTGTACTTCGTTAGTAGGCAGGTGGCATCTGGCTGAAGAAAACTCACTGTCTTTATCGTCACATTTTTCATACATAGTAACATTTTTATCACTAGAAACACTAGAAACTACCCGCGAATTTGTCTTTACCGTTGAATAATCATCGCTTGCACTAAAGTTATTAACTTCGATTTTTGTTTTATATTTAAGAGAAACTTGAGTCACCGTCTGCGATTTTTCCCGCAAAAAATTGGCTTTCTTGCACTGACTCACTGAAATTTTCGTATCGTATGGGGGTGGTGATTCATTGCACTCTTCATTTAAAACGGACGGTTGCTCCAATTTTCTAACGGTACCACTAAGTAAATGCTTTAAAAGCTCGGAGGACTTTAGCCGGGATAGTAATGCGTCTTCCTCGATTTTATCATTGTGGCTAATTTGTTGTGTTGCATCTTCAGGGGAAGTTTCACTACTACTGGCGCTTGATTCAGTTTTCGAGGCGATCATACCTATTGCTGATTCATTTACTGAAATTATTCAAAGCCTTTTCCGCGAAGACATAAACGACTGTGTGAATAACTCAACGATACACAATGCATCCGTTTCACTTTTTCAGAGCAAACGAGCGGGTAAAACCCAGTCAACATATTTTCCCACCTTTCGCAATCTTCACAATTTACTCACTTCCACACACCGCTTAAAATGCTTCTCGGAACGGAAGTAAACATGTCCGAAATTGCGATGAGTCATAAATACGTTCGGGAGAATAGATACAAAAATGCGATCTCGTTGCCAGCGCGCGTAGAATACGCAACCGGTATAAGGCAATACTTCCGAAACATGAATGAATATAGAAAAAGGATCTTAATTGGTTTATGCCGGGAACAAAAAATGGTAACTCCTTTGTAGGAAAAAAATCCTTAGACTAAAAACACGATTGGACGAAATCGCGAAAGGCGTTGGTGAATTAATAAATTTATTGCCACACAAAAAAACTTTTGTTAATTTTTTAAACAAGGTTACCAAAATAAAATTAAAACAGGATTCGTGGCCTTATGGTTTTGTTATTATGGTTATTATGTAACCTCGTGCAAGCTGCACGCTTTTCATCCACCACTCACTTCCATTAATGAGGGTTAACGCTGAAATGAAATTTAATCTAGGACTGTGGAGGGTAATTAGCACACCCGTTAAAACAGTAACCAATAATAAAGCTGCTTTTGTTATATAATTTCAGGCAGATGCTCAGGTGTGTGGTCTCCTAATGCCACACATCAATTTCCGTACTACTCTGTCGTGACAATCTCTAGATACAGTGCCCCCCTTTCACAAATTGTGGTTTTACAGTTTCACATTCTTGGCGTTACTGAAATTTACCGCATTCGTAAACTGAAATTTCTATATAGAGAATGAAAGAAAAATCGCTCAATAAACCTTGGACTGTAAATGAAACCAGAAGTTTCCTAAAATCTATTGATAAGGATTTGTAAAATGAAAAACCACGAACCTCATACGCATCTGGAATGAAGATTTTACCCATAAACCTGTGGAAACATTTCAACACTTTTGCTCCTAAAAAAACTAACCCTCAAAATATACGCCCTCGAGAATGTTACACCTACGATTATTCGACTTCGGACATTATAGTAGATTCGCCCCCAGAATATTCCCCTTCACCTTTTTTGTGGAGGTGACATAGAAATAGGTGACGAATTTAACGGGGAACATTTTGTCACAGATACAGACTGGAGCTTTAGAATTAAATTGACAGGCAATTCTTTAGGGTCAACATTTTCAAACGTGAAGTTTTCTTGTTGATCACATTTTTGGGGAACAAGTGTTCTGGCGGGAAGAGCTTTTTTGGGAGGCCAATCTTCAGACGCAAAAGTAACATGCACATTATTCACGTGCGATGACAATTTTCCCGATTGAGATTTCTTGATTAATAAAGGAGAATTTCAGCGGAGACAAATTTTCTGGTTGGGTATATTACGGGAGCAAATTTTTTCGGAAAATTTAGAACCAAAAACAAATATTACCTCACATTCATCGCATTCCTTCGGACGAAGTGGCTTCCTTCAACAAAAATTAAATGACACGATGGACCGTTTTGTCATTATCGGAAAGCTCAGTTCATTGTCTAATGTGCTGGTCGAAAATAATTTCTATTTTAACCAACCCCAAATGACGTTGAAACTCATAAAAAGATGAAAGGTAATAAGAAAATGATGTTAAATTTGATTCCCTTCCATTGCTGGAAAATGATTAAGAGCTACATATTTTAGTTGAGACACCCTGTGTTAAATAATCATTATTATAAGATCTTTATTTGCGATCTTTGGTCAAAATAAGTAAAGTGTAACTGGGATAATTATAATATATTAAATACTGGTCATCAGTTATTGCCAAATGAACAGATAGGATATGAAATGGCCCTCAAATAAAACACACATGACAGAAGTTGACACATCTACCAATAAGAGATGAATGTTACTAAATTTTGGCTTGTGGAATCCAAAATTTTAATGCCGACAAGATCTGACCATCATAAAACCAGCATTTCGAAGAGTATATAACATTAAAGACAATACTTTCCCTTTAACATGTAGCAAAGACAAAAGTTGCCGCAGATTGACCAGTCAGAAGCGATTTGTAATGAATTTGGACCTCCCGAATCTAACAAATTCAAATCCAACAAGTTCTCACCACTTGTAACAGACATAGAGCCAACAATTCGAAGAGTGTGTAAGGCTAAGACCATTTCGTTGCATTTCAAATTGAGCAAGGACCAAAGTTGCCGCAGATTGACCAGTCAGAAGAGGATTCAAACAAATTTTGATCTGTATACCTAATCTAAAAAAATTATATACTTACAACGAGATCTGCCCACCAGAAATAGAGATAGAGACATCTATTCCAAGGGTATTCAACGCTAAGACCATTACATTAACTTGACTTTAACATTTAGCAAAGATAAACGTTATAGCACATGTAGCAGATGTACCAGTAGCAGGCGATTTTTAATAAATTTTAATCTGTAGAATCCGAAAAATTTAAAACCAACAGGATCTGACCACCAGAATCAGAGATAAAGCCATATCATTTCGAAGGGTATCCAAGCGACATTACCTTTTAAATTTCACAAAGACAGAAGTTGTGGCAGAGTGACCAGTATAAGACGCGATATCTAATAAATATTAACCTTTAGAATCTAAAAAATTCAAATCCAACAAGCTCTGACCACTAGAAACTGAAATAGAGCCATCACTTCGGAGAGTATGTTACGCCAAGCCCTTTCAAATTTAACAGAGACAGAAGTTGTCGCAGATCGACAAGTTAAAAGCGATTTCTGACAAATTTTGACCTATAGAATCCAGAAAATGTACAACCATTAAGATGTGATCTGCAAAGGTTGCATGCTAAAGAAGAATTAAGAAACAAGAAAACTAGTAAATCTCGTTCCCACAGGAATAAACCTGAAACCTGAAAACCCATTGGAAGAGCAGATAGTTACTAAATTCTGGAGCTTCCTCTTATTCGAATCGACTTTTAAAGCACATGTTATAACTTGAGATCAAGCTAGCACTTCCACTTTTCGCGATTGAAACTTTATTAGTTGCATCAAAAACTATATGAATTAAAGACTAATGTGTACCCAAATTAGATTCTCATTCTTTAAACAATGTATACAGTATTTAATAGTATATTAAGATACAAGTGTATAATCAAGTCTTTAAAGCACGCGCAACGAGTTTAAGGGCACGACGCAAAGCGGAGTGCCTTTAACGTTGCAAGTGCTTTAAAGACCAATTATACAGGTGTATCTTATAGTATTTTTTATTATACCTGCAGTATAATTTAAAAATAGGAAATACAATGAAGTCATATTGACGTTATACTCAAATATACATGTCTAATTAAGTGGGCTGGGTGTTCGTAATTTCACGATTGCAATGGAAATGTCACTTGACGTTTGCTTAAAAAATCATCGTCTTTGTGAATTAAACGATTTCCGTTGAAAAAGATAATACACCGTCCATTAAATCGATTGTTGTAACATCTAAACAAACGTTGGTAGGTGTAAAATCCAACTCCAGTAAAGCCTATTATAAAGCATATGAAAAGTTGTTTCCATGGATGAATAGGAAATTACGAATACAGTCTTAATGTATTAATCTATATGAAGGAAATGTCAAAGGTATTTAAATCTTCTATATTTTGGTGCATTCATTCAAAACTTTAAAGCAATGCTGCGATTAAAAAGTGGAACAAATTTTGAAGTATACCCTAAATTACGCGCGTTTGTGAAAGCTTCAACCAAAGGATAGGTACAAAAGCCAAAGAAATGTTCTGCATTTACAGAAAGCGACCTAAGAGGATTTTTTATGTCAGCCCCAGATGACAGTTTCAAAAGTCATACTTGAAGTATCGTTACTTAGCAACTTTAAAGCACGTGTGTTTTAAACGCCCTTTTTCGCACGCATTTGAGTGTTTAAAAAGGAGATTGTGATTCAGGTATAGGTAATAAAAACAATTTTTAAATTAATAATAATTACAATTAATTATTACTTATTAAGGACTAATTTGTACCCACAAAATTACAATTTGTACCCGCTATGTTTCGGCAGAAACCGATTTCTAAAGTGGGGGCGCTAACTTTAAATCAAGCTAGCGTTCCCCCTTTTCTCGATTGAAACTTGATTAGTTGCATCAAAAACTCAGAGTTAAAGACTAACTTGTAACCAAAGTTATATTTTCAATGTTCAAACAGTTATACATTTATAAATATACAAATAATATTAACAATAACTGAAATAAAACTAACAACGAAAACATTAATAATAGCAACATATGCAACAATAACATCCAAGTGGTTCATATACTACTAATTACTAATGGAACGGATCGAAATCAAGTAAAACGATTTGTCTTAGTAACACGAGTTATACAACTTAATTTGATAATGTAAAACAAGTATAAATTGTGTACATACAACTCTTGTGCAGATACAGCACATTTAAACCGAAATAGTTTAGTAAATAATTGGATTATAAGGTAGTAGCATGGCTATATTGATCAATATTTACTTGCTTGGTAAATGGGGAGAGAGATACTATAAATGCAAGAAGAATCAAGTAGTTAGAAAAATTGTCCGGCTCCGACTAAACGTCCCACTTGCCTTTTATGAGTGCCCTCTTCCGACAATTCGTTTTCGAGCTATTCGTTTCGACGTTACCAACAGATAGACAGATATGTCCGACATCCCAATCGCCCTTTGTGGGTACTCTCCTCGGACACTCCGCTCTATAGAAATATGAAGAATTATAACCGATCACGATAAGGAGTCGAGGAGGAGGACTGTGGTTAGTACAAATTTATTCCTTTCGTTGAAACCTTTCATTCGAATACCTTGAAAGATAAAATAAATGTTTAAATCTCACTCCCTCTTCCCGTCACCCCGTAATTTAAAAATGGAGTCGCAAAGAAAAGTTATAGTTTGTAGAAAACAATTCCTTTCGATGAGAGCTTTCATTAGAATGCCATGAACGTTAC